AACCATCTTCGTGACTGGTAGTCAATTTACATCTGTATTGATCTTTTTTTTTAACTTTCTGGTCACACGATTTACTTTTATTAGTTGATAGATTTGGTCTATATTAACATGTTTGTTAATCGCATATTCGCTTGAGTACCAGGCTTCTAGGAATTCTCTGGCACTTTTGGTGTTTCCTCTGTTTAAAATTTTGACATTATCCCAATCAAATTGGTATCCATAATTATCTACATGCATTGAAACCGTTTGAAATAGATATAGCACACAAGCCAGTCCAATCACTTCATTCGATATTGTACAAACCGAAAGATCCAACAGAAAAAGAAGACAAAATTAATACCATTTACAAAGTAAATTGTATGAACTGTAACAGACATTACATCGGCCAAAGTGGGCGTCCCTTCGAATCAGCATCCAAGAACACAAATTAGCTGTGAAAAGACATGATATATGTATTCTTTCATATCAATGCATGTAGATAATTATGGACACCAATTTGATTGGGATAATGTAGGAATTTAAATAGAGGAACACCAAACTGCAGTCAGGGAATTCCTAGAAGCCTGGTACTCAAGTGAACTAGCGATTAACACACACACACTAATATAGACCAAATATACCAACTAATAAAAAGTAAATCATGTGACAAGAAAGTTTAAAATCCAAGTCAATAAAAAATGATCAATACAGATGTGAATCGACTACCAGTCACGAAGATGGTTGCCAGGAGACACAATTCTATAATTCAGTTCATTTTATACTAAAACCTGCGCTGAAGATGTTGTTCAGAAGGACGACGAAAGCTTCGCAACTCAACCAACCAGCTCAGAGAATACAACTAATTGTAAATCATCCATCTGAGGTGCAAATCTCCTCTATAATTCAGAGTATTCTTAGAGTGTAGTATCAAAAACAAAAATGCTGGTTATGTAAACTGAAGTCCTCTGTAGGCATTGGAAAATATTTGTCAGAATCATTTATAGACAGATACTTAAAGTGATCTCTAAGCTGCAATTCCATTCATTGTTTTTAGTTTTCTTCACAACATCGAAAACTTGAACATGTCTCTGGTGACTTCTGGATATCCTTGTTCTTAAACTTTGGCTTTTTTTTTAAGTTTTCTGTCGTAATTTACATAAAACTGTGTCACTTTTTTTACAAAATGTCTCTGAATCTGTTCTGTCCATTCTTCAATAAACAGTAATTTACATATTACTTTGTTTTATTTTCAAGGTATTTCCTAGTCTTGCATTATTTGGAATGTTAATCGGTCCAATGAACGCCTTTCCTTGGGTTATTAATGGTGTTATGGAAGCAACTGTATCTATTCAACGTATTATGAAACTGTCCTACCTGTCACAAGGTCCATTTCCAGTAGAATTGACTACTACATCACTTTCTGACGCTGGTACACCAACAGATATTCCGATTGTATGTTCTTTTGCCGAGAAATCTACAATCAGTATGCCAGTAAATATTGTCAATGAATCATTTTATTATACTGATCCGGATAAACTGGTACTGAAGAATATCAGTCTTCAAGTGCAATGGGTAAGTTTAAAGGCTTTCAAACGACGTTGTATACAATCCTAATTTTAATGCATCATTGACAGAAATGTTCATTGAGACGTTTAAACTTACTACGTGTACCCCAATATGAGAATAACCTACCCACTCACTATATAAGAATAGAGCGTTAGAAGTGTTTTAAAAGGATATACACGGAACAAAGAGTACTCTTTTCGATAACTTCATCATCAGGCTCTACAGTTATATATACACATTATAGTGAATGAATGAATTAGTGTTATGAACAACATTAATGTTGTTTAAACATCGAATCAATACTACTGATAGATTACAGCTCAATAACATCAACATAAAATAAACTGAATGTCAGAAGAATTAGGAAAGATAATATTACAAATTCATGAATTTATAGTCTCTACTGAAGGCCGGCCAGGGCAGTAGTAGTGGCTGGACTTGTTTCTTTTGGACACAGAGCACTGGTTGTTTGAGGCGAATTGCAATAGCCTCTGCTGTTTGGAGCATGCGGTGCTTCGATGATTTTGGTAATTTGTTAGGCACCCGGTACATTATAGAGAAGGATTCCTCTACGCTGGCCTTGTGACTGGTTTGCACCAGATGGTCTAATATCGAGCTGTTAATAGTTTTAACTACACCTTTACTTAGCCATAGTGAGAGATGTTCTCGAGCGAGCACGAAAAATCAAGTTCTCAGAGCAACGGCCAACAAGTGGTTGACTTAAGGAGCCAAATCCCCCAGGTCTGATCCACAAGGCAGTGGAGCTGCACTTCCACGGTTGCCAGTGACCAAAACAGGTACAATCCGTTTGGAATCTGAAGCCTCTGTACACCTTAGGTTTGAAATCAGGGTTTCTCATCTCCCCTAGGTAGACCTGCATGTCCACTAGTTCGTTTGAGGTTAGGCGTCGAGTGCCAGGTAAGGAGGGCAAATCAATCGACGAGGCTGTGAAATTACATCGACTGAGATGGTTACGACATGTGTTACGTATGCCTAGTCATCGCCTTCCTCGACAATGGGCAATGTTAGCTGACATAGGTTCACGTTGGAAAAGATCTATCGGCGGTCAAACCAAAGCATGGCTTCATCAGTCAGTGAAATCCACAACAGTTAGTCTAAGCCACGTAGGAAGGTGTAGACTTCCTGGTTGGGGTCCTAGGGACGGTGATAACCAATGGTTGGAAACAATTGGTGACATGGATCAAAATCGTTCTCAATGGCTCTCGCGGATGCATCCACTCCTTGTGACTTATGATTTCCAATGAAACTGTTTTGTTCTTCGTTATTACTATCCCTTTGTCTCACACCTCTGTTTACTGTCTATATTATGCATTTCTTCTCCTGCTTTGTGTGCTACAAGGAGGGAGTGTGGCGACTTGAACTGCCGCACATATGTGCAAAGTTCTATGTCGAAAACAGACAGACAGTCCGATTGTAAGCGCCAGAAGTTCCCAATTGCCCTTTCACTCCCTGTGAGAAACACCCTCCACCACGCGAAAGCAGTGGATAGAACTTACCTGGCAGAGGTTATAAACACTTGGCTACATGAGAGCACTTCGAGAAGACCGAAGTCTAGACACCATCGACCGTACTAGGTCATTTATCGGGTCAACGATAAGCAGTGAAGATTTCCAAAACCTTGAAAATTATAAAAGGTGAGTATATCTTCAACCATTCCTTTTCAACATCTCAAAGAACTCAGCTAGGCAGTCTACACTTATATGGCTCAGACCAACAGCCAGACGCTTGAAAAGGTTAATGCTATATTTAGTCTGTTCACCCTTAATTCTCCTTCAACCTAATCCTACTTCAGCTTGTCAGGGAAGGAGGTTCCTTGGCTTGCGTCATAAGTTTCCTATGCACCTCGATCGATAGAGCTTCTCAACCTTTTTCATAGACTAATATCATATGATACCGTCTCATTTCAATAGAACGCGAGCAACCGAACATTAGCACCTGTGATGAAATCCTTCTAGTATCTTTTGTCAGCTGTGATATCACACAGCCGTAATACAAGACAAAATAAAGTACTACGCGATAGGCACACCCTTTGATGGTTAACTAAATATCTTGCCGTTACCGAAAATGATACAAGTTGGCAAATATGCCAACTGATAGGCTAAAACTTTATGCCTTCTATTCGACTAGGTGATGCAATCAGGTAACATATTACAAGTGTTCCATCTTTAATATTTCTAAAACAAAACATAATTGGCATTTCTGCACTAAGCTTCGCCTATCCTAAAGCTACACTTGTCTCAAACAATTGCAGATGGTGAGTTTGTGAAACATCATATGTAGTCATATTCTGTCTGAATACTACGTTATCGATCTCCAGAGGATGATTTAAGAAGTCAGCATAGTACTCAACTAAGACTTGTTGTAAAGCGTAATGGGGAGTCCACGTGTTGTATAACGAATGGAACCATTTTCTATAGTTTGGTTTGTAAGGGTTGGTTATGTTTTTACGAGTTGATCACGGATTGATATCAGTTAGAGAACCATTGAAAACCAGCACTGGAGTACTGGTGGGTGCGTACTGCCGATGATTCCCAAACTAGAATGGAACCACTACACAGTTATTATTTTCTATTGTATTTTTATCTTTATGGTTCTTTAAATAAATTTCAATAAGTCAGTTGTGCTGACATTGCTTTTTTCAGGGCGAATTGATCTGTGTTACTGGGCCAGTCGGTTCTGGTAAATCATCCCTACTTCTAAGTATTTTGGGTGAACTACAGTCAATTACTCCTGAAAATGAGCTCAGAAATCAAAATTCACGACTTCGATATGCCTATGTTGGACAAACTCCCTGGCTTCATGCTGGAACTATACGAGAAAATATTCTATTTGGTTCTAATTATGATCCAGCATGGCTGAATACTGTAGTTGAAGCCTGTGCTCTAGTAACTGATTTGGACAACCTACCTCATGGTTTGGATACAGATGTCGGTGAAGCTGGTGGTAGTCGTCTTAGTGGGGGACAACGAGCTCGTGTTGCTCTAGCTCGAGCTGTTTATCAAAAAGCGGATGTCTATCTTTTGGATGATCCTTTATCTGCACTTGACGTGGATGTTAGCCAACTGGTGGCTAGCAATTGTTTACTTGGTCTTCTGTCGGGAAAAACTCGAATTATTGTCACACATCAATTGGACTGGTTTATGAATACTGTGAGTAGAAAAATGTTTGAAAAGATTGATTAAATAATTTCATTCATTGGATTTATTGTTTCATCAGCGGTTGTAATAAAGTTATTACTAGTTGAAATGGAGTTATATCAGTGAGAGTGATGTTGGAAGAGACAAGGGAATTTCCTCTTTGTTCAAAGGCCTGCAGACAAAAAAGTGAACAGTCGACCTATTTAGCCTGTGATATTTTTAAAAGAAGAATTTCAGCACCTTTGAAAAGAACATTCTTCTCAGCAACGCTCAGAGTAGTGTCCTCCAGTCGTTTACTGGTCTGCGGAATCCTGAAAAAAGATCTCGCATCCATCCACTTTTATGTGCATATGCCAGTTCACCTGTTGCTGTAGAGCCAGGTACATTGGTTGTTCGACGCGTATCCCGTTTAAAGGGGTTCAAGAACACTATTCAGACTGATTGATGAAAGGTAGTAGTGGCTCTGTGAGGGGTGCGATAATCGAATATCTCGTCAACACTGGTCATTCCATTTTAACAAACACCTCCTTCAAAGTAATCTACAAAGTGAAGAATAACCTGCCAAGGCAATACTCTTTCGTCTCCTTTATATTGTTGAAGCTTTAGTTATCGTTTTATATAATAGTACGGTATTTACTCGAAGAAACCTGCTATTATATATATTATTTAGTGATAACTTCATGAGTATGTATAATTGCTCACGTTCATATAACCTTGTTGTGTTTCTTTGTGTAACCTATGGGAACGAAAATATGAATGAATTACTGTTAACAGTGTTGATTTCAGCATGCACTAAGTCCTGGATCACAAGGTGACTGTCTTCCTATTTTTTTGGGTAGAAAGCAACCTATTGTCTTAAGTAGAAAGTGCTCCACTTCCTTGTTTATGGAAGCTGGTGTACCTCAAGGTATTGTACTCTCTCCATTTCTTTTTGCATGACCTACTCTGTATTTTTCTAAAGTTAAGTTTAATTAAATATGCTGATGATCTGACAATTTCTGTCCCAGTACCTTCTACATTGAATTGTTCGGATATGAATAGATTCTTATCTGAGATTAATCAATGGTCTTACTGAAATGCTGTTAAGCTAAGTCTATGTAAATGTCATGCGATTGATTTTAGTTTCAGACCCTAACTAGACTTGCGTGTGACTGATTCATATCAGCGATTTTTGTAAAATCGATGGCATTGTGATAAGGTGTAAATCGAATACCCCCTATCTTGGCATCAGTTTCTCTTCGAATTTCTGTAGATCTTCTCATATTCTTGCTGATTTCTAAGAAAAATTTTCGCCTGACTTGTTACATAAAGAAGTTGAGACTTTCTGTTGATATAACCCAACCTCTTCTCTTACAATTTATTAATTTATGCATTCTGTTCATTCTTCTTTATTGTTTCTCGTGATTCTTCCCCGGGCTTTTCAAGTAAGATTGTGTCATATTGTAACGACAGAAGGCAAGAGTCAGGCAACAGATCATTTATTAAGGAAATCAACGCATATTTATATATTTTCATGTACATTACTATGGATATTTAAGTAAACAAACACAGTCTTCCGATTGGTTGTTTCTCACGTAAAGTTAATCTTTCATCTATTTGTGACTGTTTCTTGAATGTCAAATCCTCTATATGTTAGCTGCATCCGCCTACACAAAGTCTGGTGTGGTCGGTTTTGAATCAATCTTTGTTCACATTTTCTCACGACAAATCTTGGGAACGTAAATATTGACGTAAATTACTGTCTACCAATTTGGCTAGTAGACAGCTCTCACCACAATATCACGTAGAAAATTGAAGGCTGTAAGTAGGGTTACTGGTGTGCCTTTGACTCAGATAACTGACATTATTGTCAATAGGCTCTTCACTTCTTAAGGCAGTTGGCTAGAGTTATCTTGTCTGATGCTGGACATTCTCCTTATTTGTAACTTTTCCGTGTATATCTTAGAGGTAAAACCAGAAGAAATTCCATGAGAATTTATGCTCGTACAACTAAATATAAAAATTCGGCCATACCATATTTAGCACAGGTTTTGTGTGAAGAGACAAGAATGAGATGAAGATGACTGACCAGCTTGCAGAATAGTATTGACAGTAGTAAGGAAGCAAGGTGATGAGGGTGACAGAGGTAATGGAGAACGATGATCAGGAGGGCTTCGTGTACTTTTGGAAGTATGTGAGCTGTTGTTACTTCCCGGCTGCCCACACCGTGGAAGTGTATTGATTCTTCTTCGAGAGTTAGTGTTGCGTGACCGCAGAGCCCAGGGAAGAACTGCTTGAGGCCGGTTACACACGGCCTGTCTGAACTGGCTTTTTGGTTTTGTCCCGTATTAGTAACTTACCGCTGGTTACGGACCACCGTAGGGTATGTTGGGATGTACAGTTTTTGAGGTCGACCTTTTCTAACCCCCTCTCTCCAGAGTGGGGAGACAGCATAGCTGGCTGGCATGCTGGTTATCTGAAGGAAACACCTTACTGTGGCTGTTACATCCCTGTTCCCCAGCAATACGACTTCGCCCACAGATCCCCAGCATAGTGTAAAAATATCCTTACGCTATTCCGGTAACTGCTTTTAGTCTAATCGCTATCCTAACAACCTTCTCGGCATGGTAGGACCTGCATGGACGTTAGTTCCAGCCAGTGTAACTTGTTGGGTCATTGCGATGTACAAGCCCGACCACCACGTCAAGGTAGCAGCTTTCGGTCGGGTGTGAAGAGACAAATGTTGGAGGAGAACTTATCGACTTTTAAAATCAGTAAATAAATGGCAAATTATTACAGAAATTATTAAATATATTATTCATTATATTATTTATTGACTATTCATTAGATTCCACTAACTCTCAGTTTTGTGGTCTTATTATTTTTATTATTATAAGTTAAATTGTTGCAATATTTACAAAGGTGGAAACATCTATTCTATACACAAATTATTATTTGGAATTAAGTGATTATATTAATAATAATAGTAATAATAATAATCATTTCGTGTGGAAACATTAATTTGTTTGAAGGAGTGTGTTAAATTCAAAGCCCAACTGTGAATACAAACTCTGACTGAGATTCTAATCTAATGAACGTGAATAGTCAAACATGATGGAGTCCGCTGGCTGTTTCGAATTTGTATGCTTTCTACGAGGCCTTTGTGGTGGAAACGTTTCAACGTATAATTCGCTCTGCTATATATTTTACTTGCATGGAGGATTTCATCATGAGCTGACATCAGTTAGAGAACAACTGGAAAACCTAGGAGTACTGGACATCAGTTTCGTCCTAGTTTGGGACTCTTCATCGGCACGCACCCAGCGACAGGGTTCAAACCCAGGACCTTCTAGTTACAAGGCGACCTCGTAGACCACTGAGCCACTGGGACCCGATCCAATGGCCAGTCCATGAATTCTAACTTCTGCCAGTTCACGACATAGCGTGCTATGTCGGGTCCAAGTGGCTCAATGGTCTACGACGTCGCATTGTAACCAGAAGGTCCTAGGTTCAAACCCCAGTGGGTGCGTACTTCTGAAGAGTCACAAAATAGGACGAAACAGCTGTCCAGTACTCCCAGGTTTTCCAATGGTTCTCTAACCAATGTCAGCTCATGATGAAATCCTTCATGCAATCAAACAAAATCCCTACAAAACCAATATATTTTACTATCCTACCGTATTCACTATTCACAAATTGAAACTTTTCCAAGTTTCAAACATTTCATTGAGAAATTTTCATCATCTGACATGGTGACATCATCAGCAGAACCACCTTCGTTAGAAAGTAACATTTGTCCGTAGGTTGTACAAGTGACCAGGTAGTGTCGTTGTATCATTTGAATCTTACCAAATTATAGTTGGAAAGAATAATGTTTGCAGCAGTGACCTTGGAATTTATTGAATTCCACTGGGAAGAACTGTTGTTGTATGAAAATTCGGGTTCTTCGTTGTCGTCGTCAGCACACCTCTAGTAGATTTTTAATATATGGGGAAGTAATCGATCCCGTCTTATGTCGTCTGTAACTATAAGTGCCTTCATTCAATTGTTAGCGTTAAGTTGAACAATATGATATGTTCTGTTGAGATTAAGCATAAAGTGTCAGATGATTAATGGTCTATCAAAAAGGTTGCGAACCACCTCTATTGATCAAGGTGGATAAGACACTTGCCATGCGAGGCAACGAACCTTCCTCTTTGATGAGTTGAAGGAGAATTGTGAGCAGACCGACTAAATATAACATTAATCTTAACAAGGCATTGATTATAGGTCTGAACCAAATGAGGAGTGTAGATTACCTAACTGGGTTTCTCATGATGCTAAAAATGAATGGTTGAAAACTCTTGGTTGCATGAGTCACTGTGGTAGACTCGTAATTATGTCAGCTGTGGTGGGGTATTATTATTGTTTCTTTTAATTTCTAGAGGAACATAGGGCTTCAGCCGCACGTCTCCATTACTTTCGGTTATCTGCCAACGTTTTCACATGGCTGCACGTCTGCCCACATGCCTTCATCGCCTCTCCGCATGACCTCCTCCATTTCACCGCGCTGCCGACCAACTCTCCGCTTCCCATTCAGGTTCCACTCGAGTAATGGCCTGGCTTGTGATGTCACTCACTTGATGGTTTTCTCAGAGTATGGCGGTCAATCCACCTCCATTTCTTCCTGCATGTTTGTTGCACACTTGGTTCCTAGTTGGTTGGTTCGCTCATCACCATAGATCCCCGTTGCTAATCTTGAAAAGTATTAATCGAAGACAGTTGTTGATGAAAGTCTGTAGTTTGTTCGAAGTGTTTTCCATGATGCACCAAGTCTCTAATCAGTAAGTATAGTAAGTAGCACTGATTTCGCATTGGAGTTGAAAATCCGGATCTCATTTGCCTTTTCATGCTGAGTGCTGTTGACCTCCACACAGACTTCACCTTGCTTTCCCGATTCTCGCTGCTTTGATATCCTCATCAGTTCCGCCCGTCTGTAGTTGAAGCGATGCTTCCCAGGTATGTAGATAGGTAGGTAGGTAAAGGAGATTGGTTCTTTCAGATTTCTCACATTTATGCTAATTGTTGTCTGTTATTGTTGTTGCTGTTGCTGTTGGCCAAGAATCTTCATCACCGACCTCTGTTTTCTTTACGTTCATCTGAAGTCCTATCTTTCATGCTTCTTCTTTTGTCACCAACTTGTTGTTTTTGATTTGCATATTTTCCAGTTCGTGGGAAATCAGACAGGGGGTTAGTAGTGCAATAAATTAACAACTGCGTCTCAAATATCGCTGTGTTTTCTCTCTGACATGGTTCATGATGTTTTACAGGTAGTTAATGAGTATAAAAGTGATCAAGATTTAAATGAAGAGCCCTTGAGAGATCACCTATGAAGTTTCAATAATTATGATTCAATATTATTTGTTACGGTTGATTTATACCCATTTCGAGAATTTTTCGACTAGTCTCGTAGTTAAAATTATCTTTTTTTTTCATTTATTCTATGCTTTCCTACAGACTGATAGTGGGAATGCTGCAGTGGACTTTATTGTTGAATTAAAAGATGGAACTATCAACCGAAGAATTTCAGGCGATCCTAACTCCAATCCCCTGCATCAATCTACTGGTGAAATTAATAATATTTCAGGTCATGATGAGTCCGGATTATTCAGTAACAATGACCATAACAATAATAATAATAATGAAAATGGTATTCACACTATCGATCATGAATCCTCAGTGCAAATTGATGATGATGATGACGATGTACCGTTAATCGATACTAAAGCTGATATCACCGCTGGCACATCTGAGTTAAACCATAACAATCTAGAGAATGGTGATGATAATAATAACGATGTAACTATGGAACATATAGCAATGGGTTCAATTAGTCCTCATGTATACAAGTCATATATTCGTGCTGTTGGTTATATTCTGACTCTTTGTATCATTGTCTCCCTATTGTTGATGCAAGGTAAGTGTTTCACATTTTCGTTTTATTATAAATCAAATAAACAGTTTAAGCGGATTAGTATGATCGTAACTTGCTTCTTTGATTGAAGGATCCAGGTTCATTCTACCGACTTCGTTTTCAGTAAACTCCGTATTTAAGTGCTGTTTTGTAGGGATTCCACTGCCTACAGGATTTTCATCATGAACTGACATCGGTTAGGGAACCATTGGAAAACCTAAAAGTACTAGACAGCGGTTTCGTCGTAGTTTGGGACTCTTCACAGTATTCACCCACCGACAAGGTTCGAATCCAGGATCTTCCAGTTACAAGGGAAGCTCGAAGAACATTCAACCACTGGGGACCCTATCCAATGGCTAGCTCATGAATTCTAACTTCTGCCAATTCGTGATGTAGCGCAACCACTAGCTAATGTTCATCGTCGAGTATTTGTCCTCACACCCGACCTGCTGTACCTCACTCGTCACAACTTCCTACCAGAACCCAGGTAACTACCTATCTAAACAGGTCAGTCTCTAGTGAGCTAGGAAGAAACAACTGACCAGTACTCCCAGCTGGTGATGAAAATCCGATAAACTCCGTATTGTTAATCTATGCCTAGTGGTGCTGATGAAAAAGGTTTACATTTTGAGGGACTGGATAAAAGCTATTCTTAAGATTAACAACCTTCTTCTTCTGAGCAGTGTCGTAATCACTAGTTATTTATTTGAACAATTTAGACTAAATAGGTGGAAGACTTTGCATTGTGACTACACATGGTTAATCTAATCAGCAAACAATGTGAACCCAGAAGATGTTAGTCCTAATCTTTTCACTGCCAATACGAGTTGAAGACATGAAAAGGTTGACTGTTTTTTATCTTAAATGTCTACGATCTCTTTCTCACGTTAGGTGGTATAATAAGGTAAGTAATGTTGACGTTAGGCGTAGAGTATTGGGCAAAGAGGGAAAATCAATCGAAGAGGCTATAAAGTTACATATATTGACATGGCTAGGTCACGTGCTGCGCATGCCTAACCATCGCCTCCCCCGATGGGCATTACTAGCTGATATATTGTGCAGGTTGGAAAAGAGTAAGTGGTGGCCAAACAAAAACATGGCGTCATCAATCCATGAAATCCCTGACAGTTAATCTGAGTCAGGTAGGAAGATGCAGACTTCCGGGTTGGGGCCCTCGGGACTCTAAGAATCAATCAATGGCTGGAGACATTAGGTGACATGGCTCAAAATCGTTGTCAATGGCTTACGCAGATGTATTCAGTCTCTTGTGTAATCTTTCATAATCCTTTCTACCATTACTCATTCTGTTTCACTCTTATACTTGTCAAAACTCTATTGATTCTCTTCACTCATTTTCTTGTCTACCTTTGTGTGCTATTTGGAACGTGGTAACTCGAAGTGCTGCACTTGGGTGCCAAGTTCTATGTTGAATCCAGACAGATAGAATCTTTTCACAATTTTCTTAGAACTTCAACCATCACCTACAATCAATGAAAAGAGTTTCGTATCAAAGCTCACTTCCAAATATAAGATAATAAATAAGTACAAAACAAAAGTTCATTCATGAGTAATTCCCATCCAGCCAAGAATGGAAAGAACAAACCCGAGTAGTTTAGCGAAAAGGCTGTTATCGGGGAATTCATTTTCATACACATTGGTTCCATTGATAAATTTCCGTAAAGAAAGAAGGATCAAATTTTCAGTTTAAAACGATGCCACCATTCTATTTCATAGGTTATCCTCAGCTAACTACAAACCACCTGAAATTACAATGGTTATAAAGAATAACAATGATAACATACTTCAACGTTCGAATGGTAGTAGTAGTAGTAGAGAAAACGTTATAAAAAAAATTAACGCATCTGAAATATAAGCATTACACTCACTTTTTTTAGTTTAAGCTACCATCAATTTATACGCTTTCAAAATAGAAAAGGATGTAGGTGGAGGGAGGAATCAGAAAAGTCTAATAAACAGTGTTTTCAGTTCAAAGTAGAAACTTTACCATACTGTGATACTTTCTGTAGCTTATTTCTTCATATGTATTCAAGTGTGTCGGTGGCACAGCGGTGACGACGCTTGCCGACCATGCACATGATCCGCGGTTCGATCCCCTACCGAAGCACACCTGATATCAATGGTCAGCCTGCAAAATTTGGGCTACCGATATCACATGCTGAAAAATTCCATAGCTATACCAAAATACTGTGTGGGGTATCAAGCTATAATCAAAATAAATAAATATTATATCGAGTTCACTTAGGAAGTTTTTCAAGAGTTTATTGGTAGGGATTTAACTTATTTCAAGTTTGATCACGGATTGATATGAGTTAGAAAACCAGTAGGAGATACTGAACAGCTGTTTCGTCCCGATTTGGGACTCATCATCAGTACGTACTCACCCGCAAGGGTTGGACTACACCGACTCCTAGATTAGAAATAGGGAGTGAAGTGTTCGAGCACGTTGACCACTTCACTTACTTGGGAAGTACCATCAGCCCCAATGGGTTGATCTCTGACGAAATCTTAGCTGAGTACGGATACAGAGGGCTAGTTTCGCATATGCCAGTTTACGCCGTCTCTGGTGTAGACGTGATATCCAGCTGTCTGTCGAGCAAAGGGCGTGTGTACTGCTCCACAGTCCGCTTCGCCCTCCTGGCCATTGAGAGCGGGAGACATTAAAAGATTAACTGTCTTCGATCATAGGTGTCTGCGTTCTATCTACCATGTGAAGTTGTATAATAAGGTGAGCAATATTGAGGTTAGGCGTCGAGTGCTAGGTAAGGAGGGGAAATCAATAGACGAGACTGTGAAATTACATCGACTGAGATGGTTAGGACATGTGCTACGTATGCCTAGTCATCGCCTTCCCCGACTAACGGGCAATGTTAACTGATATAGGGTCAGACTGGAAAAGAGCTAGTGGTTGTCAAACCAAAACACGGCACCAGTCAATGAAATCTACAACAGTTAGTCTCAGCAGCGTAGGTAGGTGTAGACTTCCTGCCTGTTTGGGGTCCTCGGGACGGTAAAAACCAATGGTTGGAAACAATTGGTGACATGGCTCAAAGTGGTCGTCCTCAATGGCGCAGATGCATCCACTCCTTGTGACTTATGATTTCCAATTAAACTGTTTTGTTCTCCGTTATTACTATTCCTTTGTCTCACACCTCTGTTTACTGTCTATATTATGCATTTCTCCTAATTTCTTCTCTTGCTTTGTGTGCTACAAGGAGGGAGTGTGGCGACTTGAACTGCCGTACATATATGCAAAGTTCTATGTCGATAACAGACAGACAGACTCACCCGCCACCAGGGTTCGAACACAGGACCCTACTTATGAAGTAATGAATGAATCACAATACAAAGCCTGATAATAAGAATTATACTATTCTACTTCATTTATTATCATTATCACTGTTAGTGTCTGCATTTGTTAACAATACTACAGTGTATCAAAATGCCAAGTATTTCGTGTGTGTTAGGTTAACTACTGCTTATTCATGTGTTTTTTTTTTTAATAACGTATACTATGTTAATGCCTATTAAGTAGTAGTTTTACCACCACTTTGAATTAATCTATCTGCATTTGAATATACATTTTGTGTTTGTTTATCGCGAAGTAGTTAAATATACATTTGACACAATGTAGTATAAACAAACCAGTACAAATCATTTATGTATAACTTTCTCTCACTCTCTCTCCATATATTTATGTATATATGCATATGTCCAGAGTATGTTGTGTAATTATTTGCGCACAAACAATGTAGTACCACACTCCTCTTAGTCGAGAAGAATTATTAACATTAAAGTATCATCTATGCATAAATGTATATTGAGATTGTTAAGTGGTATTCTGGCGTGTACTACTGACATGAGATTTGTAAGTAGTGTATAAACAGACGTCCATTGGCACAAAAATATCAAATAGTGGAGAGATAGAATTGATGTTAAATAGGAGAGGAAATTGACCAGTATTTCAGTGGAACATGGTAGACATGGAAAGAAGACAAAGAAACACACCTTTGCCCAGTGTCTCAGCGACAGTATCGAAGTCCTACAAGAGGCTGCTCCTTTGAAAGCAGCAGGTCTTGGGATCTTCATTTTGTCTGGAGGCAGAGACATCAAATGTAATAGGAAAAGTCAAGAGATATAAGTATAAAACTTGGGCACTGTGGTGGTAGAGTATAACTCCATTATGGATAAGATTTCATTTTGATAAATCACACAGTGTTATACAGTAATATTAACTGATGACGTTTCGAGCACAAACTATTGCTCATAATCATATCAAGTCACACACAACATTTTTCCTTCATTTATATACATGTGTGGAATTGATTAGGTATTTGAATAAAATCAATATAAGATAAAGTGCATCCAGAAATCATATTAGTGTTACCAATAAAATACAATCAGATGGGAAATAAGACGAGTGTTTTTATAGTCAAAATAGGTAACTTATTAGAATGTTGTGATGTTCTTGTATTGAAACAGAATTTTGAGATTATTTATTATCCTCTTCTGATTTGACTGGCGGTAATAATATCTTCCATATTTCTGGTATTTGCATTGAGTCATTTCTGCTGCATGTGTTGGGTGTAGACTCAATAAACCAGGATTCAGTAATCAGTCTCTCTCTCCACCTACACAGATTACTTTTTAGAATTTTAATCCTCTCCCACCCACCCTATTGTGTGGTTGTGTGTTAATGTATGCAGTGCAGTAGAGTGCTGAGCTTTTTTTCTAAATTACTTATCTTCTCGGTGTCAACCATTCTTCCCTTAGCTAAATTCTTATGTTCCGACAATCTGGCTACCCCCGACCTACTAGTTTAACCTATATAGTTGACCTCACAGTCAAGCGACTTGGTGATGGAATGTTTATTTGCAGTTTGATATACACACATAGGGAAATTCTGTATAGCAAATATCAAAATCGTCATTTGCACAGATCTTCCGTGTTGTTGTCCTACTTCTGCCGTTCGTTTTGTGTTTCTT